GACAATTCATTGTCAGAAGCAATAATATTACCAAGAAAAGTCTGCCCATCAAGTAAAGTCTGTCTATTTATGTGTGGGAAAGAACAATTAAATGCTGAAATGGGTTCTGTCTCCAGTGCTTTTTATCTATCCTGACCAGATTCCAAACTGTGCAGGGAAGAACAATGAAATCCCTAATTAGAAGAGTATATGACAAAAAAAGTTTTAATTATGTGTTTAAACAATCTGTGTGTTTCCATCAGCAGAGATGCCCACTATTCCTCATATGCTTGATAAATTAAGGACAATTAATCTCAGAAATTCACGACCTTATGTTCAAAATGCAGGGAGTACCATCAACGTCACAGATTTATTCAAGAAACACCTAATAAATCACATAGTGGGGGCCAGTGTTTCTGTGGAAATGACAATTGGGATGGTATTCCCTGCTCCATAACATTTTCTCTTTGTGGAATGAAATAAATTATTTGCATTGTGTTGCACCAGGATGGATGGATGGATGGATGGATGGCATTATGTAACAGTATATAAGGCTGTCTGTTGCAATGCAGTATATAAAGCTCATCCCATTATATCCCTCAATAGCTAAAGTCATTTACTTTAATTTTATTTGCTGATCTTCATTTTTAAAATATTTGTTTTGTAGTTTGAGTTTTTTTGAAGGTATGTCATGAAGCGGCCACTAGGGGAGCCATAATCCCAGGTCTAGCTGGGCAACTGCTAATGTTCTAATTTAAAAATAGACAAACACCAACAACCACTGGTCCAGGTAAGAGCCCCACCGCAATTCCAGAACCACGCCCAGAGGAAGTCGATACAAAGATTTTTATGGCCCTGCACAGGAGGGATAATCTCCAGTTTTCTCCCCAGGGGAGGCCACTGCCATCACCATGTCTGGCCTCAGAGAGGCTGCTTCCGCTCTCACCATGTCTGGCCTCAGAGAGGCTGCCTCTGTTGCTGCTCCTGGCCCCAGAGAGGCCATCACCATGCCCGGTCCCGGAGAAGTCTTTGCTTACGCTATCAACCCTGGAGAAACCGCTACTGAGCCCTGCCAAATCTGCTGATTCTGTTTGTTTCCTGGTATCCCAGCATCGTCCACCTTGCTTCAAGATATTCTGGCCTCACAATGACATGCTGTCACATCAGCGTACCCTCTCTTCATTGCCCCCAAATGCTTCTGGGAAGTGGCTGTCAGATGGGAGGTGCAGTGGGGTGGCACAAGGACTCATTGACTCTTACCCAGACTGTCCATCTCCTAGACATAACTGGCTCCTGCCTGCTTGCCTGCAGCCGTCGCCCAGACGACTCCTGCCTGCTCACCAGTGGCCACCTCGTCGGCTCCTGCCTGCCTTCCTGTGGCTGCGGTCTCTTTGGCCCCTGCCTCCTGGTTCCACCTGCTACACGCAGAAACCTATCCATCCAGGCCAACGTCCAGTCCGCCCTTGTCCCGAAGACCACCACAACCTTTTGTGCCTCAACCTTCTCCCCAGCTCCTTGTCTTGCCCTTACTGTTCCCAAGTTTGTACCCTCCTTGGTTTCCTTTACTTCTCCTATCCCTGGGGATATTTCACCTCTTTGTCCTGGCTTGTTATGTCCTGCCTGGTTTGTCTGTGTGTAGCCCACTACTGGGGGCAACAAGAACTACAAAAATATTCAAAAAGGTAACAGCAAGGGGAAAAGAGCAACACAGGAACCAGGGGGGATTTTCTGTACATGGATTACTCGTTTAGCCAGATGTAATTGTTGATGATTTGGCATGATCCTGGATCTCTCTTGCTGGATGTGTTGTCATAGCAGCACATCCAAACCCTCAAACCTGCTCGGAGCAAATTTGTTCTATGTAAACAATGATTAGCTCACACACTCAATCAGTGTCCGTACATGGAAATCCGTTCAGTCATGGCCTCGCCATTCATGGATGAGCGACCATTTGCAATTGGTGCAGAAATAATATTTCAAATTGAGAGGGTTTTGCACGATCGGCAAGATCCCTTATTGTTGCCGGATGATATTCTTTTCGAAAGATACCGCTTCAGCCGAGGTGGAATATTATACTTAAAGATTTATTAGCTCTGTATAGTAGAAGTCAAGCTAGGTGAAGTCAGGCTCTCACAGCCACACAGACAATGTGCATTGCCTTGAGATATTTACAAGCGGCACTTTTTTGTATACTGTAGGCGGAAAATATATCAAAGAGTACAGTTTGCCAGGCAATTCACAAGTCTGTTTGGGCTGAAATATCTGTCTGCCTTGTTCTTATTAGCTTCAAAAGGAATGTTTTATAAATATTAAAGATTTCCTGAAGTTCATATACATAAAATTAACAAACACACAGACACACACATACTGTATATATATATGAATGAAATGTCCTGTTTACCAGTTTGAAGTATATTTTTGTACTTCATTTGAACTTGTTCCCATATCCTGCATGATTGTGCTTGTATTTGATCTGTAATTATGACAATTATGACAATACAATAATAATGAAACATTGGACACATAATACTACATTCAAGTGATAAATACAATAACTAAAACTACTTACACATTTAATTTGTCGGACACTTTTTGCCAGCCGTCTTTTCTGGTTTGGGCCACTTTTCATGCGTTTCCTTTAGCACATATTAAATCTTTGAATTCATCACACCTGTCACGCCCGCAGGGACAGGGCAGCACAGTGGCTAGCATTAGCCACATTACCACGTCACTATTTAAAGCGAAAGCAAACTACCTGACGTTGCGAAGTATTGTTGCCATGCTAATGACCTTTACTGAGCGTTTCTTTGTCTAGTGTCTTCCCCGATTGCCCTGCCTTGTCTCGCCTGCCCTGTTTCCCTGATCGTGCCTGTCTCCCTGTCTGTTCCTGCCTGCCCTGCCTGCCTTGCCTTCCCGGTCTGCCTGCGTCCTCTGTTCCATCCCATCGTCTCCTCGTCCCGTCATTGCCCGTAGGACTGATCTCTCTGGCTTTTGACCTCCCGCGATCTACCCGACTACCCTTTTTGATTTCCCCTTTGGCTTTGGTTGCACCCGGCTTTTCCTTCAATAAATCCTTCTCCTGCATTACGTGGTCTGCCTCTTCCCTGGTTCCGCGATACTACAATACCCCTCTAATAAAAGGTCCTGCTCAGATTGCGTGAAAAACTGCACCCTGTTTTTTTTGACATTTTGTGGAAGCCAATGAGAGACTTGCCGATTAAGTTTTCTAGACTCGATATATATGGGTTTTAAGGAGCGCGGGTGCGTGCAGTCATCTCGGATGGATGGATCCAGCTAGACTACCCAGCTGCAATTGAAAAACCGACTTATCCCGGATGAGTTTCACCGGCATTAACTCATCCAAGATGAGGCATCTGATCTCGGATGATTTAAGGGACGTACGAAAAATACCCCCTCGGAGCTAGAAAGGGAAAACAAACAAACAAACAAACAAATAAACAAACAGAGCAGCAGCACATAGTAACTTAAACATAACGCAAAAATCAATAATTAAACAAAACAGAACTATTGTCCCTTAGTCCCTTCAAGTAATGACTCAGCCACAGATAGCACTATAGTGCAAAGATTTTTTATAACTCGTCACAGAATTTACATTACCAACCTTGCAATTCAGCCCAACAGTTAATCTCACACCTGAAATGCATCAAAACTACCAATAAATGTACCAAGGTAAAGATCATACCAAACACAGTACAATGACATATAAAAACAGTAACATAATGTATCATTTTTGTGTTTGAACCTTTGTAATTCTTGTGCAGAGCCTAACAGAGTATTGAGTGGGTGGCGCCACCTTGAAAGGTATCAGAATCCTAAATCCTCCTGCTCCCGGTCCTGTCTCTGGCCCAAGTAACCGGTGCTGTGTGTGTCCTGTGTGTGTCTGTGTGTGTCCTGTGTTTGTCCTGTGTGTGTCCTGTATTTGTCCTGTGTTTGTCCTGTGTGTGTCCTGTGTTTGTCCTGTGTGTGTCCTGTGTTTGTCCTGTGTTTGTCCTGTGTGTGTCCTGTGTGTGTCCTGTGTTTGTCCTGTGTGTGTCCTGTGTGTGTCCTGTGTTTGTCCTGTGTGTGTCCTGTGTGTGTCCTGTGTGTGTCCTGTCCCGGAGCTTCTGCAGGCCGCTAATCTGGGGATGCCATGTGGATAACAGGTATGAACAGCCCATACTGCCTCGAAGGAGTCACCTGCCAGGTGGTAGTGTTTAAAGGCGAGTACTGTCAGCTTTGCCCATTGTGTTACCCTATTGTGTCTCAGAATTATCAGTAATCCTGCACTGATTGCCCTGGGGTGTTGCTTCTGTGTTATACTGTGTATATACTGTATATGTAAGGGCTTAGGTGCTGGGGCCCTGTCCTTTGACTAGCATATTATTGATGTTCCATTGTTTTTAATTCCCTCTTGTCTCTCTTTCAGGGGCAAAAAAAGCTCAAATGGCCCACTTAGGGGGTCCCTTACCCATGTCAGTCTAGGGCTCCCAGAGAACTTAGTCTGACCCTACATGTGAGAGTAATGAAATTCAACAGAAAAGCAATATATGTTGAAGACCAAGACAATAGCACTTAGACAATTACAATAACTGATTCACCGTTTTGTGTAAAAGTGATGGGAAACCAACATACTGCTGTGAATCTATGCAATGTTGATCCAAAGGTTTACTTATAGTGTTGAAAGACGAGTAACTGTCATTTGAGGACAGTACATTAAGCAGGTGAGAAAAACGTACACCAAGACAGTTAACTGTTAGTCTTTATTTCAAAAATAACAGAAGGAATTTCATCCCAAAAGTAACAGACGGGTGGCAACAAAGAAAAGGTAGAATCAGGATGCTGGTACCACAGAGACTTTGACCGCCGCCGTCAGGGGGAGCAGCACAGAGCACTGGAATTGGCCGGCTCAGATCTCCTACAGCCGGGATCCCAGTTTGATCTCCCCCAGCCCACATCAGCGGTCAGTAGGAGCCCAGAGAGCACCGGCACTGGGCGGCTCAGCCGGCCACGTTACNCAGAGAGCACCGGCACTGGGCGGCTCAGCCGGCCACGTTACTCTGCCTCTCACCAGTAGGGGGCCTCCTACAGCCGGGATCCCAGTTTGATCTCCCCCAGCCCACATCAGCGGCCAGTAGGAGCCCAGAGAGCACCGGCAGCCACAGGGCAGTGAGTCCAGCCAGTAGCGCTTTCCACCAAGTGTGTTACGTGGGTCATTGTACCTTTAGCTGTCAGAGCAGGACATGCGGCTGACAGGACATATTACAGGGTCGGCGTGCTGTGGCCGTCAGCCTGCTCAGGTCGGGGGGGGCGTTTTACTTTGGTGGGGGGAGTCCTGAGCTGGGATTAACTGGCCATTTCAGAAAAACAGGGCGAAAATTAAGGAGAGCAGTTAATAAAGTACGGTTGTTTAATTAACCTGATAAGTAATCTCAGATGCGAAAATCACATCAAATCAAGTAATTAGTATAAAATTGCAAAACCTTCCCTGGAAAATGGAATAAAATTTGTTTTTTTAATAAAAATTGGGAAACAAAGACAAACAAAAATTATTCCATTTTCTCACATGGCACAGATTTTGTTCTTGGAGACTATATCCCTAATACTACACTTTGCATATAAACTTTTACATACATAATGTCCTTTTTGTGCCAAAGATAGAAGTCATGATTGTCCAATAGGAATGCTCCTTACCTAATCTCTTGTTGGACAATCATGACTTTTAGCTTAAGTTAACCCATATAAACTTTTATATACATAATGTCCTTGTTGTGCCGAAGTTGCCGCTTAGATTATATCCTGACCTCCCCATACACCACCTCCGGTTCAGCCCTCTTCTCTCTCCTGCTCTTATTCTTGTTGAATGTGACCTCAGCGTATGTCATTTCTTCAGTGCCAGGTTTACTCTCTAGGTGGAAAGAGATAAGTCAGGTTATTTTAAGAGTTATCTGCCAACAATATAAACGTAGGTGTTAAGTTCCGATGTACAGTGAATGCGGCCGTTTTATTTCTGACCTTCTGCCTGCACATGGGGTCTCTTCCTGCAGTAACTGTAAACCCCCACTGTCAATATGAGGAGTAAGACCACTGTTCCCAGTGTAGCAAAAAGAATCTCCATCGCATGAGCACCTGGAAAAGACATCTACTTAGCACATATAATTTCATCTTTTGTATACCTTCTTATGAAAAATATCCATTCGTTTTCTGTTCCTTCTTGTCCTATTCAGAGTCATAAGGGGGTCGCAGAACCTACAGGCAGTGAACCACCCAGAACAGGTGAACCAACCCATCACACCATTTGCACCGTACGGACTATTTGGTAACTCCAATTAACCTCAGCATGTTTTTGTACCTGGAGGAAAGCCCACGATGACACGGGGAGAACATGCAAACTCCACACACATGGAGCCGTGGCAGAGACTTGAGCTCCGGTCCCAGAGGAGTGAGGCGACAGTGTTAACCACTGTCCCCCGTAGTCCCTACTACCAATGCAACATTGAAAAAAAAAAACTCTGTTCTTCATAAAGAATAATTGAGTAATACATCATTTGATTGGTTAGTATATCTCATTGCATATCATTTGAAACTACAGGGGGTGTGTTCTATGGAGCAGGATCTCTCAGTTAGGTGGGTTAATTTAAGAAGGAAGTCATGATTGTCCAATAGGAATGCTCCTTACCTAATCTCTTGTTGGACAATCATGACTTCTAGCTTAAGTTAACCCAGCTAACTGAGAGATCCTGCAAGTCTCCTTTATAACGTGGCGTATGTAACAGTGCATGTCTGACATCTTATTAACTGGTTGTGTGATTATGTCATAGTCAGATTCTAGGCTAACTTTAACTTTAAATGCACCAGTTAACTGTTTACCATGAAAAGGAGCAGTATTTGATGTCCCTTTTAGAAAGAATGCTTCAAGGTTTCTCTGCTCTTACAACTGCTACAGGAGGTGACTTTGATGGATCAAAGATATGACATGTTCTTGCTAATAAAGGTACTCAAATGGTGAACATACTGCAAATTTATTTGTTAGCAATGAATATAAAGTTTATTTTTGAAAATGTTAAGTAACATGCAAATGTGGAAATTCTCCGTGTGCGCAAAAACCTTTGACTGGTAATGTACATTTTGGTATAAATCATTTTGGTAGCAGATTATTGGTTCTGTGCCAATAAAGGGCACGCTAGAGACCTTTAGATACCTAAAAAGGTATCACTTTAGAGTTGTCATTTAGAGACCTGCATGCCTGCAATAATGTAACACTGTGGATTGAATTACATGGGTGGGGGGGGGGACCTGTGTGGGGGTGTGATGACTTTTTGTCAGGAGTCCCAGAATTGCTAACTACGCCCCTGGGAACGAGTAACCAGCGTCTTCGCCGTAATGCCAGGCTGACTGACTATAGTTCAGCTTTCTATGTCATAATTCATTTCAGCTGAGGAACGTCAACGGGACAAGGCTCACAGACAGAGTTAGGACTGAGCTGGGGGGGTTACAGGCTCTGGGGGGAGAAGCCCGCACAGTGTCAGGGTGACTGCTCTGAGTTAGTACTAGACAGATACTCATCAGTGAGATGGCTGCCGGGAGTCAGATACATCGTGCAGACAAAGTCAGTCTGTAATTATCAGACATAGTTACACAATGGATAAATATCTAACTTACCTTTAACGATCAAGTGGAATGTTTCAGTTCGTAAAGCTTTTCCGTCTGAGTCATATATTTCCAAAGTATAAATGCCAGAAAGATTTCTTTCTGCTTTGGTGATCATCAAGGTGCCATTCATATCAAAATTAAACTGAGATCCCCAATTTTCTTGAAAATTAATGTTGTTCTTTCTAAACCTTAAAATCACAATTCCATCCTTTCTGAGCGTTAGCTCATAGCCACTGGTTCCATTTATCAGCTGTATAAATGCAGGTCGTCCCAGAGCTACATAATGTCTTATAATGTCACTGTCTGAACCCGCAGAACCTGGAAGTGTCAGAAAAGATAAAGAATTCAGAATTATTTTGAAGAACATGATCCCAAAAATCAGTCACTATGTAGTATTTTTACAAAGCACCCCAGCTAATCTGAGAACACATATAGTGAAACATGAGGGAAAAAAATTCGCTTTGTCAACGATTTTCTATAAAACATTTAATTATGAAGTATATGGCAATTATAACACCAGGACTCAAAAAATGAACAAACTGATAGTGAGAGTTCATTAGCAAGCTGATCCCTAAACAGCCATCAATGCCTGATGATTGTGATGCTTCACGTGTGGCTTCTGCTTGCATTTCTGGATTTCTTGTTCTCATTCTAATGTTTGGTGTTTGGTTATTTGCCCAATATTCCAGTATTCCAGTCCCTACCCCTCCCAGTCAAGTACAGGAGTTTTCCCTAAATCCAGTGAGAGTCCAGCAAGGCGTGGATCCTTATTTTGCATGCAGCTGGAATAGTTTCCCACAAAGGTCAACAACCTCTTTCCATGCTCTACCATCAAAATGCCTCCAGAGGAATTCCAGTGTGCTGGAGAATTGTGTGGTGTGAATTATTATGAAAGCTTGCACTGTAATACACTGGAAAACAAAGAGCTAGTCTACTGGACATGGGTCCTCCTATGGCTGTTGCGCTCTCCTGGGCATGATTTCAGTGTCCCACCAGACAGCTGCAACAATCCAGGAAACTTAGGAGGATGAGCTGTGGATTAGGACCCTATAGCACACCAAGCTTTTGATTTTTGGAACACTGTAAGGAGATGATGAAGAGGATGAGCTTCAGCTGTTCTGTTACTTAACTTCCTGTGTTTTGTGCATGATCTGTCCAGATGAGGAAGGCTGGGTATACCCTGGAAAATTCAGGCGGCCCAGCACTTCGCAGGGGCCAGTGAATATGCAGAAGTATGTGTGTGCTTCTCTAAACATTAGGCCACCACTGCCAGTGAACACTGGAGGAAAACCCCAGACAGTGAGCAGAAGGATATTATCAGTGAAAAGAAAGGTATCATCATCATAACACTCTGCAGTGAGCAGAAGGGCATCATCTCCATAACACTGTGCAGTGAGCAGAAGGGCAATATCTCCATAACACTGTGCAGTGAGCAGAAGGGCATCATCTCCATAACACTCTGCAGTGAGCAGTCATCGTCATAAGACTCAGTGACAGACTATAAGCTGATGAGGTTATTGTAGAGTAGCTATTCATGTCCGCCCATCATGGCTTTTCAACACAGAACATAGCTGTTCATATCCGTTTTGACTCAGGGGTTAGACTCTCAGAAAAGATGAATCAGATAAACTTTACTGAAGAAACAATACAAAACAAAATTTAAATATAGTAGAACACAGGTGCAATCCAAGTAAATAAATAAACATGTAGGCAATAAGCCACAAAACAATCCAATGAATGAAGACCGTCACCTTCTGGCGATCAACTGAGGGGGCAGCAGCTGAACGTATAGTAAATCAGGAGGTGCAGGAATGTTGTTAATCTTTGTCTTTAAGATGAGGAAAAACTTTTATTGTACAATCTCAATAATAAATCCTTATTTTATCAAGTACAGGTACTGAGTAGGCAGTTTGTCATGAGGTGGGTGTAACACATCTGGCTCTGAATCATCACAGATTCTTCTATCTCGCCTGCTTCAGAAATTATGGTAGATGGTTGGACTTATCGCAATTCTCCCATCCCTGGACAAGTTCTGGATTTTCCCAAAAGATAAAAACAGAAGGTTCAAAAAGTGGTGTTTTCACCACAGTAAAGGGAACATTTCCCCCAAACTTCATCCTTGTTGCATAAACTGCTACTGGTCTTGCTGGAGTAGGAAGTTTGTCATGAGCTATTACACCACACATGCTGAATCACCACAGACACTGACTGCCATTTTTCTCACACCGAAAATGATGGCGACGGTTTCCATGATCCTACTTCAACCCTCGAATACTGGGTCAAGGAGCTGTACAGGCAGTCCAGTCTGTCTTTAACTCAAATGTTTAGGTAAGTTGGAAAAATAATAATACATGATAATAATGATCATTATACAGTAATGATAAAAGTAACAGAAGACTGGCCATTGGGAGGTTTGGGAAATTGAATCTCCCAGGACCAGCGGCAAAATATATGAAGAGGGACCACTTGACAGCAAACTCCCTAGCCATGTGATGCTGACGTAGCCGTGTGATGCTGACATAGCCGTGTGATGCTGACGTAGCCATGTGATGCTGACATAGCCGTGTGATGCTGACGTAGCTGTGTGATGCTGACGTAGCCGTGTGATGCTGACGTAGCCATGTGATGCTGACGTAGCTGTGCAATGTTTTCACAAAATAGTGTATGCATTTGTTATTTTGACCCATTGTGATTAACTTTAGTTTTTAATAAAACAGGCTTTATGGTAGTCTGCTTGCAAGTAGAAGTTTGTAAGTCAGGTGTCTGTAACCTGGGGACTCATGAGAGCAGTGAACCTTGTTCAGAGCTCGGCCTTGTTTTACAAAAAAGGTATCACCCCACACAGGACCGTCCTGTCCAGCTGACTGCTTTTCTAACCAGTGCTTCCCAACTAATGGGATTTGGAGCTGCTGACTGGTTGGAATTATCAAGAAAAACTGAAGGACTTAAATGTGATTGTTTGGTACATTTTATGCAATAAATATAACCCATTTTGTTACCATAGTTACAATTACATATAATTATGAGTTTTGGAACTAATCTGCTAATGATATTATAACCACATATTGACACTGGCTTTTACACTGGCATTTTAGTACCTTCATGGGAAAAAAAACATAAAATCTTATAAATAATAAAAGTACCATTGCTGTCTTTGTTAAAAGGGAATGTACATACAATTTCAAAGTCAGTTCTGCAATTGCATATGAAATAGGAAATTCAATGCAAACAGACAGGGCCGGCCCGTGGCATAGGCAATATAGGCAAATGCTAAGGGCGCCATCCATCCAGGGGGCGCCACAAACGGAGGAAGAAAAAAAGTGTAACATTCCACTATTCTTATAACTAGTTGGTATTAATGTGTCTTAATGAAAAAGAACAAGCCCACACAAATTTACCTGCTTAGTAAAGCCGATTAAGTAGTACAGGCTGCGTATTACTACTGTAATTCCAGACTAACCGAAGTTTAAATAAATCCTGTGAAAGCTTAGCTGGTAATTTAAAACACCCTCGCTACACAGGACTTCACAGACCTACCCATCTTCGTATGGTACCAGTGGCGTGAATGACCGCGCACTATTTCATTGTCCCAGATAGTGTGTACAAACTGAAATAAGACAAAAAGGAAATAAGGCGTGTGAAACACTTCTAGATCAAACAAGGCTGATTCCGGATGAAGTTTAAAATCTAAATAAATTGCCTATTTTAAAAAATCAAGCACACATGGGCAACAACGGAACCACGTAATATTTAACTACATGCCTATCTAAAAGTCTTTTTTATGATGAAAGCAATGATAAATAACACAACACATGCATCCACGTGTAGTGGGGGGAACCAAAAATATTTTTCCAAGAGTGCAGGATAGTGTCCCAGAGTGAAGGAAAGAGGTCAGCATTCGTTGTGGGAATAAGGCTTGGCTGTGTGGGTCAGTATTTATCCGATAACGCACTTCAAAGAGTACTAGATGTTAACAAAGTGACCGCCCTTGAATCTACACCACTTGCACTTCACGGGTAAGCCTACATACCTTCAGTTTGCAAGATATTAAATCAGTGGAGCTGACAGCTGTCATCTAATGCAGGACTGGCCAATACTACAGGTGACACAGGCGGCCGCCTAGGGCGTCAACTTCTGAGGGGGGCTCCGGCACTGATGCTCGCCTAGGGCGCCACATTGGCTAGGACCGGTACTGCAAACAGACATTCTTTAATAATAGTCCAAATGTAATTACTCATCACATCTGTTTGCGTGCGGCCATGACTCTTTTTAAAGTCACTTTTTAAAAATGTTTAAAACATAGTTTGTAACACTGAGCGAGTAGGTTCCTTTTTTCTTTATCGCTTCTTTTAGATGTTGCTTGTAGTTAAGCAACTAATTTGGCAAGAACGGAAAGTTCTGTTTCCTGGATTCTGTAGTCAAATTGCATTTTGTCTAAATATATTTTCTTTTACGAAGTATTTTAATTATTTTCTTGAACAACCACGGCAAGAGTCTGAGGCAAGACTGCTCTCTGTCTCTGTCGGGGTGACCCACTCCGCTCGTGTTCATTTCCATCAGTTCTTCCTCCTTCATGGTGCGGCTGAGTGCCTGAGTTCATCTCTGTTGAACCCAAATGTCCAGACAAGCACAGTTTCTGCAAAAACTTCAATGTTTCTGTTTTTTTTCAGGGACTTCTTGTAAAGCAGCCTAAATTCCTTCCTTTTCCCCCAATTTCAAAGCTTTCTGTGCCACACAGCTCTCATTAATGAGCTGTACAGGCTTTCAATGAAGGAGTAACCAGCATTAGCAGCGTGACTCGATGCATTTTGGATTGAGCCTTCAGTGACAGATAATTCAGATTTTTCCTATTTACAAGGAGTACATATATATAAGCCTAGCAAACAGATATCATGTCACATAGCTCAGTAACTGTGATATCTTACTTACCATGTGCTGCTGTTGCCATGATTAAGAAAAGTCCAAAAACGGGAGACATTCCACAGATCAAGAGACTTTGAGTTAAACAGTTTATCAAGCGGAGAGATAAGCTGGTTCCCATGGGTAAAGCAGAACGTGCTAAATTAACTGAGAAGCATAATACAGACTGAAAAAGAGGAAGTTTTATTGCGAAAAATATTGGCAACACTTTACAAAATGGTTCCTTAATAACTTAGCAGTAAATCATTTACTACTCAAGAATCATGAACAAATATACTTGAGATAAAAATGCATTATAATATATTAATGATGAACAAAACATGAGATTGGTATTTCACTTTTTGTTATTCATTATTTGTTCTTTCAGTAGTCCACAAAGATTGATAAAATTAACAGACATAGTAACAGATATAGTACCTGCTTGAAATAAATGATCCATCACAATTCATTAATGGGTGGTAGTGAATGGCTCAGTAGATTAAATCTCTGTGCCTGTGATCAGAAGATTGCTGGTTTGAGGCCCGGAATCAATGTCAGTGTATGCCTGTACAAGAACCATAACCCCCAGCTTCAGGGGTGCTGTGTGTGGGCTGACTCTGTACTGTGACCCCCACCCCCCACCCCCCCCAAAAAAAAGAAATGCTATGGAGAGCAACATGGGGCAGGTGAAGAGAAGAATTCCAATGTAATTGTGCAAATGGCAAATAATGGATTTATCTTTAGTGATGAACAACGATTCACTAAACATGGATGTGTTGGGATTGTGGAGAGAAATCAACACAAGAGAACATGCAACCAACCTGTGTCTGCTTTAATATCAAGTTAATCCATCCAGTCAGAACACATGCCATGTTAAATTGGCCTGGAAATAAATAATCTTTTCCCTTTGGGGTTCATCTTTACTAATTGTAGTTACTATTGCTAACTAACCGTTTGCTGTAGGCTGATTATTATGTGGGGCGACATGGTGGTGCTGTTGCCTGGGTTTGGGTCTCCACCTTGGTTCCACATGTGTGGAGTTAGCTGTTCTTCCTGTGTCATTGTGGGCTTTCCTCTGGGTACTCTGCACGGTCCAGAAAACATGTTAAAACACTAGCATTCTAGTGTTGTTAAAACACTAGCTGATGTTAAAACACTAGCATTTTCTTTATGTAAGTTTATGTGAGTGAATCCAACCTAATTTTACTTGGTTGTTTTTAATTCAAAATTAATTGAAAACCATTGAAGTCACTTCCTGTGGGGATCAAAGTTCGTGGTCCTGGGTGTAAAGCAGGAGGGCCGAGTAGGCTACTTGCACGCACAGTCCCTGCAAACTTCAATTAGCCAGCTAGGTTTGGCTAGCGTTCTCTGGCTCGTCGCGGTAAAAAAAAAAAAAACTCAAACACCACATGTAACCCTAAACAATGTGGGGAGAATGTTCTTAAGCGATACAGTTAGTGTATCTTGCTCACATTCCCCCGTCACCAATATAAAGCTGGTGTTTTACCAACTTATCTTAAACTATTCTTCTTCTTTCCGTTACTTCCCCCCCGCCCCCCGTCATCTTCTTCCTCGCCTCCCTCTCGCTGATTGGATCGTTCCTCCAGGTAGTTTTTACTTTTTTTTTTTTCTTAAAGTAACTAAATTCTTATTACATATAAAGAGAAATTACACTTTTTAAACATCAACTTAAATACATCAACATTTGAAATTAACCACCCAAATTTCCCATAGAGCTACACTCTCTTCTCCTTGGCCTGACCTATGCACTCAATCTCATTTATCCCAAACCACTGAAGTATACATTTGAGGTATTCCAAAAAAATTTTCTTGGAACTGGATGCTTCAAAGCTGTCTAACAAGGTGCAGAATAAACTTCTGGCTTGAAGTCACTGTGCACCTACACAGTATACATACATTCAGTGCTAACACTTTTTCAGCACTTTCAGTTCAATATTCTCCGAAGTGCTAGGTTTCGTGGTGCAAGTTAGGGCTGATTTTCACTCACACATCTATTGCGGCCAGAGATTGAAGAATCTTTAAGATTCTTTAAGAATCTTTTTTGCTCCATGACCATAGCACAACTTCCTACTGTAGGAGACATGACAATAGACTTAGGGCATAAAACTGACAGAATATATGCAAGATGCACGATACACAACAGAGAGGAGTAAATGCAAGGGACATGATACAGAAGTTAGTGCATATTCAAGTAGTTCAATGCAGAAAATTGACATGTCACAATATAACACACATCTATACATGTAGCATATAACACACACCCATCATACACGACATGCAATGTCAAATCTTACTGTGCAAGTTCACCAAGAGGTAGCACTTTGCTTAAATATGGTTTCATTATAAGTCTGCATACAACATACAGTAGACACGTTTCGGCACATACACCTCCTCGGGTCTTACCGCTAAGAGCGTTGCTTCTGTCCACTCAGAATGCTGTTAGCCCATCCACATGAATAGCGCTATCGGGAATAATGGTGTTGTATCTTGATTATTTAATTAATATTGTTTTAAGTTGAATCAATGGAAATTTGGCTTAATGTAAAAGAAGGGTGAATTGATATATAGAAATGTAGTTTAATTCAGTAATAACTAGTTGATGAATAATTAATATAGCAAATTATACTTATTTTAATTTGGGATGATTTACAGAAATTGCCAGTAGGTGGCCCTGTGAGTAATATTCTGCATAAACTAAATGAAAAGGAAGAAGAAAGTTTTGTTGGTTGATGTACGTAGATAGAGCAACCGATGTTTGTGTTAGCTTTGACCAAGTTTGGTATTTCTGTTGTTAAAGGAATCACTGGAACCACAGTTATGTCACTCCTTTGGTACCAAGAAACTGCAACGATGTTAGTCGACAACAAGTGGAGCTAAGCCATGTCTTGGACTACAGTGCATTGGGTAGTTAAATCCAGTGTCAAATAGTCCATTTTGTTTTCTAGCGAGTGGACAATAAACAACAGAAGAGATGGAAGCACAGGTCAGTAGGGGATAGCCTTCAGCCTAGCACAGGTCAGAAGAGGTTAGCCTTCAGCCTAGCACAGGTCCGTAGGGGTTAGCCTTCAGCCTAGCGCAGATCACCACTTGCTTGCTGCATTTGCGTCACCTGGGCTACTTTGTGCTGGTTTGCTTGGTAGTGAAACAACCGGTAGCCTAGCACCAGACTCCGGTGAGAAAAGAAAGCTACAGGGATTAGGCAATGAAACTGAAATGCTGGCCAAAATAGTGTTTGAGGTTTCACACCTACGTATGCGCAGCCTGGTAGCCTGTCTTCACCGCTTGCACATTTCATCAATAAACGCAAAAGACAAAGGTTGAATTAGCAGAGCAATAGCACAGCTGTATATAAAATATTGCAATCCACACAACATAATGGGAGACATATCAGAGGTCAAAAGAGGGCAAATTGCTTGTGTGCTTCATGCTGGCGCCTCTGTGACCAGGACAGTAAATTTTGTGGTGCATCGGGAGTCTCGGCATCCAGTGTAATTTCATCATGCCACCATGAAGGATGAACCACATCCAATAGGAGTAACTGTGGATGCAACAGGAAGCTGTCTGAAAGGGATGTGCTAACCCGGGCTGTATCCAAAAAACATAAAACCACAGCTGCCCAACTCACTGCCCGATTAAATGCGCAGCTCGACTCACCTATTGACATCAAAACTATTTGTCGGGGGCTCAATAGGGTCAATGGTGGTTGGGCTGATATTGCCAATCCTTTGGTCACCCGTGCCAATGACAAATGTCAGTTTCAATGGTACCAGCAGCGTAAATCTTGTGCTGGGGACAATGTAAAACGTGTATTTGTTCTCTGACAAGTCCATAATCACTGTCATTCTTACATCTGAGATAGTGTGGAGAAGCCCCAGAGAAACTTACCACCCAGACTGTTACGTTCCCAGAGTGCAGCACAGGGATGGATCAGTGATGGTTTGGGCTGTGATGTCATAGCATTCCCTAGGCTCACTACTTGTTCTAGGTGGGCGCATCACTGCTGAGGACTATCAGACCTTTCTGGAGGATCATGTTCAGCCATTGATTCAAACATTGTACCTTGAAGGTGGTGCCATGTATCGGGATAATAATGCACCAATACACACAGCAAGACTGGTGACAGAGTGGTTTGATGAACGTGAAAGTGAAGTTGAACATCTCCCATAGTTTGCAGTCAGCAGATCTGAGTATTATTTAGCCACTTTGAGATTTCAACATTAAAGTTTTTCCTACACCTGCATCACATAGTGACCTTGCACTGTTCTGCAAGAGGAATGGCTCAAAAAAACCCTTCTGGCCACTGTGCCAGACATGCGTCTGTCATTCCCAAGATGTATGGATGCCGTATTAGCTGCAAAAGGAGGCCATACACCATACTAATACATTATTGTGGTTTCAGTTTCACTGTCTAACCCCTGTAGGTAGCGTGAAGTCTCTGGTACAGGGGGCAACATTTCTATTCTTAAAACTGTGGCTAAAAATGCAAATAGCAGAATTGTTGCTTATCTAATATCCATAAATGTAACTTCTGGAATTCTACCTAGCTTTTGGGGGCCCCAAGCTGCTGCCTACTCTTGCCTTATGGTAAGTCCGCCACTGGCTAGAAGTCATTGCCAATGCAGCAGGTGACTACTCTGTCTAGCTCTAGGAATATTGTGTTCCATTGTTGCCAGAAATGATGCCGGAGGGTTCGAGATACAAATTTTAATGCCAAACCAGTATACATGCATTTAACACAAAAACAAAACATCAAGTACTTACAAAAAATAAAGAAAAACTATTTCGGGGGGGTTCTCAGTGTTAGATCACTTGGACGCGTAATAGCGCAAATGTGACTAATATCACAATATCGTTAAGTTCTGTAGCGATAGTCGTCACCCTCAGCCCTTCTTTCTGAGTAAAGCTCGTTTGACTCTGCAGTCGTTTGGCTCTGCAGTTGTCTGCCCTTCACTCTCCACTTCACTACTTGTAACTGTGCAAAATGTCCTCACCACCCTGAACTCAGCAGGCTATAATATGTAAATAGGAGAAAATGTAATCATTTTTCGAAGATCTAGTTACTACCTAATCTAGTAACTATCTAGTGTTTTCTCCAGCTCCCTGTACAGCCATATGGCTCAACGCATTGAGCATGCGGCTGCCTGTGATCGGCTGTCTTATGTTCGAATTATTTTTGCTCCTTTAAATAAACCTTCTTTTGTTTGTCTTCAATGCTTGTCCCCACATCTTCAGTTCTGCCTCTCCATGACGCCCAGTGTATGTTCATACTGCATTACATTAATTTTACTATTCAGATAAATTATCATTTTGCTAAAGTGACATTTGTGACAGTCTTTGAAAGTGGGTTCTGTACAGTAATTCCTATGTTTTTTAAATTTAAAACATAGGATACAAATCATATTCTGTGTCTTGTGATTATACTTGTTGCATAAATAATCATTTTGAGACTTTGAAATAATATTTTTAAGCAACATGGCCCTTTCAGCTTCCTTGATGTATTGGAATCCCAATTACAGAGTGAAAGCTTACATTTACAATTTCTGAATAATTACCACTCAATGTTATATGATCCAGCACACTACATACATATCCAAATAAAAACATTTATCCCTTCACAAATTGTTGACCACCCTCACAAAAATTTCTATAAAAAGAATGTGTTGTCTTTCTCTCAGTGATATAGGGAATCCACTTGCATCTATTTTTCATCAAAATAATATGTAATGCAGTGTAGACATACACCATGTACTGAAAGGCAGCTCAAATACAAATTAAGGACAGTTCTTTACCCCCCTTAATACACCATTCGGTCCTCTCCTACGAGTTGCTGTGTTTAGGTGATGTGAGTGTATTTGACCTTCTGGAGTGTGAGGACAGGATGCAGACTCTGACTACTTGCAGTTCAGCTACTTCCTTATCACCCTAGTGGTACAGACTGGAACCCCCATTCGATGACTGACTTCCCTCATGTTCATAAATTACTCTTAAATACACTGTCTGTATTCAAATGATCAGTCAAGAACATTGGGGCATCGTTACTGCTTCTCTTTAAAATGAATCGGTACACATTTGTAAGAAGGAATTTTATACCCTCACTGTGGCCACGCCCCCTAACCATAGCCATGCCCCTCACTGTGGCAACGCCCCCTAACCATAGCCATGCCCCTCACTGTGGCA